CATTAGCTTCACGATGAATATATTCAGATCTTTTTTGTTGAATTATATCTTTATACAATTCAAATCTCTCTTCATGGTTTATATGAATAAGATCTTCTTCTTCATTAGTCCATGGTAGAAATAGCATTAGCTGCTCTCTATAATAGTTTTCAGGATCTTGATGTAGTTTAAAGTATCTGTATCTTATGATTTTTTTCTTTGTCCTTTTTTTAATCCAACCCTTACCATTTTTCATTTTCATAGGAGCAGTTTTATTATCACTTTCATTTTCAGTGATACCTTCGTCATCAGAATTTTCGAAAATTTGATCATTATCTGTGTTTTTCTTTGAAATATTATACATCGAAGCAAAATCAGCCAGACAAACATTTTTCATTTCGTCAGGTCTATTAACATACATCTCAATTAAGCCCTCAACAAACACATCTTTTGAATCAGGCTCCAATTTTTGAAGAATTTCATCTGATTTGAGCATAGAAATTCTATTTTCAGGTCTGTTTGTATCAATAAAAACAGTACTTCTGCTACTGATGGAAAGTGGAATACTTAAAATATGATAAACAGCTTCTTGTGCAGAAATTTCACTTGAATTCAAAAATTTATTTGCAATAACTCTAAGACGTTCTCTGACTGTGTTATTGCCTTTTTTTAACTCGTTCAATGCTTCTCGTAGAAGTTTAGACATGCCATTTTCTGATTTGTTGATGTATTCAACACAGTACTTTAAGCATGCATAAGGATCAAGAATGAATTGAATGTCCATATTTGCTCTGTGTAATGACATTATTTGTGGATTATATGCATTGATTCGGATTTCATTTGGAGCACGTTTCAAGAAGACCTTTGCTTTTTTTAAGTCAGCTCGAATCATTTTAATATATTCTTTTTCATTCATATTAATACGTACCAAGAATTCATCAAAAGTTAATGAATTATCGATATCTTTTGATATCTTTTCAAGTTCTTTCATTACATTCTCTTTCTTTTTACTTATTTCTTCACGTTCTTTTTTAGTTAACTTTTCGCCGTCACTAAATGGTTCCAAAATCATAGTTTCTCTCATCGGAAAATATGGAATACCAAAACGACATTTAATACAACCGTTCACATATTTTTTACAGGTATGTGAATGTTTATGACGTTGCAAACTTATAAGTTCTTCAGAAAATTGTGTTGGTTTCGAACTAACTGAAATCAGTTTATCAATAAATTCTATACATTTTTTAATTGATTCAGGTTTATTTTTGTCGTATTTTGGAGCATTTTTTAACCATATCAAGGCATGAACATGTGGTGAACCACGAGCTTGAAATTCAATTCTGACATATTTGTCTTCTAGTTCGTAGCCTTGAAATGGACCAGAAGGAGCTGATAATATTTCCCATAGACATTTTACTCTATGTTCAAAATAACGAACACATGTTACAGGATCTTTTCTTATCAAATCACGCGTCTTTTCATAGCTCATATTCTCTGCTTCTTCTAATGTTATGACTTTATTTTCCAACACTTTAGCCAATATTACAATAAGTTCTGACCACTTTGTTTCTGCTGCTGATAAAGTCAAAAAGATTGTAGCACAACCTAGTTGCCTGTTCATGGCCATAAGTTCCTTTTTTTTCAGTTCCCAGAATGCTGGTGATGATCGATCACATCTCAAGAATGTGAAAGCGTCATCATTATGTATTAATCCATTGACATAATCTCGATTGAGCATTTGTGCAACAGTTACATTTTTTGTATTTTTGGTTTTTCTTAGAGTTATTGAAATAGCATCTGAAAACATTCTCGTTTGCAATTTCTTATAGGTAAAAAATAGTTTCGATATTCTACCACATCTTCGATCGAACATTCTTAATTCTGACTTAGCAATTTTAGCGTAAGTCAATTTAACATTTTCTTTGATTTTTCTTTGTTTACCACAATAAATTTTTGGAAATGTTAATTCATCAACTTTCATATCCATCAAAATTGATATTGGTCTATTATTCTCTGCTGGAGCAAATTTAATACCGATATCATTCTGATCTTCAATCTCATCATTTAATAATGTTTCGGTAGCTACTGGATTGATTGGTTTATCATCGGATTCATTCCAATTGGCATCATTATCATCAAATTCTGATTCCTTCATGATTTCATTCGCATCAATTTTTTTATCTTCATCTTTAATAATGAAATTTTCTCGTTCATTAGAATACTCATTCAACCAATCATCGGATATAATGATACCTTCGCCTTTATATAGTTCCTGTTCGACAAGATATTTAACAGCTGTATGTACAAATTTTGGTCGAATTGTTTCATACATAAAGGCGTTTTTATTTTTCATTTGTCTCATGAGTTTTAGCTGGATGGTATGGGTATCGCTAAACTTTCTCGGTAAGACCGAAACATTTGTGTCAACATTCATCGGAACATTGACCAGATTACCTTTGAGACCAAACTGTTTACAGAAGCCTAACATTCGAATCACCATAAAAGGAATTCTCGGTGATGTTAATCGTTCTTCTAATTCAGTCAAGATTTTCAAACAATC